ACCCTGAACGCAGCAACTCCTTCAACGGCCGTTGGAAGTCACCGCGCAGCGCGCCGAGCGAAGAAACCCAGATTACCCCGACGAAAGGTGTGTGGTTTCTTGATGCGCGCCCCGACCTTACATCAGAAGCTGTCACCCCTCGCAACGCGTCGGGGCCACTGAGAGAGCGAGGAAGATGCGGAGGAGGAGGACAAGATGGTGGAGCACGCCCCTGGGGGGCTCCTCGGGAATGCACTCTGACTTCCGCAGGACTGCCGGGAGTTCAACGCCCTCCTCGCGCGTGAGGCGAGGAAGATGGGGCGAGGCAGCGAGGACGACCAGGGGATGAGGCAGCGAACGAGGATGAGAGAGGATGGGGGGAGAGGGAGAGGGAGAGGGAACGAGTGAGGGAGGGAGGAGTGGCCCAGGCTGGGAGGAAGGAAGGAAGCGGGAGGATTGAACCAGGAGGGGGAGGGATAGGGATGGGGAGGGACAGGAAAGAACGACACTTACGCAACGAGAGCAGAACTCTTTTTGGAAAATTGTCCACAAGAACGGCTAGTACGTGAAGCAGCACATCTACCTGGAGATCAAGCACCATTGCATCCTTCCAGGGGCTCGACACTCGGGGAACGCATGCACTGCTGAACGGTGGCTCGGCCTGGGGGTCAATAGCGATCACTTCATGCACGCAAGCCCTCCACCGAAACAAAGATAGAAAAAGCGCAAACGCTGAACACTCGAGTCCAAACCGCGAATGCAAGCGAGACCAAAGCCGCAACCCAACGGGCAACGCAGGCGGGAAGCTGACGGCAGAGCGAAATGAGCGAACGACACGAGAGAGAGAGAGAGAGATGCCAGGAGGTCAAGCGGGTATGGGGGGATGTGAGAACGACGGTGAGGGGGGGGGGATCGAGCACGCAGCGCAGAGAACAACAAGAATTGGGGCATGGACCGTCACACACATACCCCGAATTAGATCGCGTGTGCCACTCACGTCGCCGAGTTCGAGCTTGCCCAGTCGGCCAGCATTTGCGAATCATGACGAGATGTATGGGAGGAAGGACAGTTGCCAAACCAAATATGCAATGGCACACCTTTCTTTCCTTGTCGATGGCCGGCTGATCTGGTAATTCAAATCAAGGTATGCGAGTCCGCGTTCACACGAACGGATAGATGGCAATACTCTTGCCCAGCTCATCGCTATGTAGTGGTGCGTAGACATACCTAAACATGCAACTTGTTAATTCGTGTTGGTTTGTCCGACCCCTGCCAGAAGTCCGATCCTCGTATCCATACACCTGCAGACTCCCCGACTCAACGAGGCGCCAGAACGGGGGCATGTAGAAAAAGATCAGACCTCTGAGGGCCAGGCTGTTTATCCATGCCCTACGAGGCAGCGGTCCATAAAGGTCTGGATCCAGCGAGGACCGCCGAAATGGAACCCCTGTTGCTCCTCACCACCTTCCTTCTCATCCTCCCCTTTGGTTCAAACCCGGCGGGCCAAGCCGCCAAGGTTCGCGCCACGCTGCACGTGGCGGGTGACCCTGGCTGGTCGCTTGATGGGGGTGCCCCGAACAGGCGACAGGCCGTTGAAGGGCGGGGAGCAGATGGCCAGTACCAGCGGCCCTGCCGCAGAGAAGCAGCAGCCATGCGAAGGTTCCCCCCCCAGCTGGGAGTACCAGTGGCGCCAGCAAGGCTACCAAGCAAGTGGACAGCGTCCTGTGCACGGAGATGGAGAAGGCGCTCACTGAGGCCATGCCCAGTCAGGAGGCCGAGTCGAAGATCCAGGGGGAAGACCGCCGCAGGGCAGAGCGGTTCTCCTCCCTGGCATCCCGCCGTGGCCGCGACCGCCCGACCGCCCAAAGGCGACCAGCGGCAGCACGCGCGCGCATGAAGAAGGAGAAGGACACGGAGCCCAAGGAGGAGAGCGTTCCTTTATGTTCGGTGATGACGGCGGGCGTCATGGGGGGGGGAGGGGGGTGGCCGGGGGGGGGGTATGACGTAACGCCCCCCCCCCCCGCCGTGTGGCTCCGGCACCGCAGCCGCGCTCGCGCGCACGACGCGACGAGCGACGAGCAACGAGCGACGACGACGACGACGACGACGGCGACGAGGACGACGCGAGCAAAATGTAGGTGGCGATATGCCCCACTGCGCCTTTGTACACAGCTCTCGCGTGCACCACAACGCGCGCGAACACCACAACACCTGCGTACACCGCAAGAACCGTGTGCAACGCAGCGCTTGTGTACACCACAGTGCTTGCGTACACTACAGCGCTGGTGCACATGTGTACACCGAAGCAACCATGTGCAACAGAGCGCCTGTGTACACCACAATGCTTGCGTGCACCGCAGCGCCTGTGCACGCCACAGCGCCTGTCTACACCACAGCATCAGCGTGCAACGCAGCGCGACTGTACACCAGTGCCTGCGTGCAGGAGAGTGCTGATAATCGAATGCGACGTTCTTCCCTCTTCCCTCCTCCTCCTCCTCCACCTCCACCTCCACCTCCTCCTCCTCCTCCTCCTCCTCCTCCTCCTCCTCCCCTTCCTCCTCCTCCTCCTCCTCCTCCTGCTCCTCCTCCTCCTCCTCCTCCTTTCCCTCCTCCTCTTCCTCCTCCTCCTCCTCTTCCTCCTCCTTGCCCCCTGTCGTGCGGGGTGGCGCTGCAGCAGGCGAAATTCAGCGCACAATGCACCGCATAATGGTCTATTGAACCGGTCCACTTGTTTCTCGCACGGCCAATTTAGCTGGAGCCTCCTGGACGCAGATGGGAGACGTTAGGATGATGCGGGCGGACTGGGGAGAACTCGTAGATTCTAGCGGCGCTCCTTTGTCCAAAAGGATTCCTTCGTATTGTTTTTACTGGAATCCACAAGCGCTCCATTTTGTCATACGGATTCCTTCTAACAGTCGATAGGCAAGTGTGGCGCTGTGTTGCACACGGTTGCTGTGGTGCACACAGGCGCCGTGGTGTTCACAGGCACTTCAATGCACAAAGGCATTATGGTGTACACTGGTGCTGTGTTGCACACGGCTGATGTGGTGTACGCAGGCGCTGCGGTGTACACAACAGCTGTTGCGCCCGCGAGCACGATGGCACAAACTGACGCTGTGTTGCACGCGGCTGCCGTGGTGTACGTAGGCGGTGTGGTGTACACAGGCGCTGTGGTGCACGCAGGCGCTGTGGTGTACACAGGTGTTGTTGTGCAGATCGCCACCTACATGCTGGTGCTACCCGTCCTCCGTCATTCCTAAGCATTCCCAGACGCCGCCGGCGCGAAACATGATGTCATCGACCCCCTCCACACCCCCTCAGATGATTGCCGTGATCGGCCGGGAACATATGACAGGCTCCAGCCGCGTCAGTGCGCACGACGACGATGAGCGACGAGCCACGAGCGATGACGACGACGACGACGACGATGACGACAACGACGACGACGACGAGTGCGGACAAGACTCCTATGCGGATGCTTACGCGGACACCTACGCGGATCCCAGCGCGCACGGCGGCAGTGCCCGGAGCGCACTGGGGGGGGGAGCGTTACGTCATAGGGCGGGGGGGAAGCGGGGGCCATGACGCCCGTCATGCCACAAGCAATCAAGAAATGGCCTCGAGGAGCTCCCGAATCCCAGCGACGAAGATTACAGCTCCGAAGGATCAGAGAGGGCCCTGCCGTCGCCCTCCGACAACCCAGCGAACTCAGAGGCACCAGCGGAGGCATCACGGAGGCACCACTGAAGGACCCAGAAGAGTCCCCAGCGGGGAACACCGGAGGCACGAGTTCTGCAGGAGAAGCCGAACGACCACAACGAGGAGAGGACCCGACGCAGCAGCAGCAGCAGCAGCAGCAGCAGCAGCAGCAGCAGCAGCAGCAGCGAAGCCGCGGCCCACTCGCCCAGGCTGCAAGCGCGCCACAGGCGCCACCAGGAGCGGAAGTCCAGCTCTCGCAGTCCCCCCTCCAGTGGTCGCGAGGCCAGCGAGGCTCCGCGGCGATCGAGATCGAGGTGGAGTGGACGCACGGTGTGGCGGGAAGCCGGCTCCCGTCCGCCCTCCCCGCGGGCACCACCGGCCACTACGACCACCCCAGTGTCAGGCACAGCCCAGCCCGACACCACGGCCATCGGCAGGTGGAGCTAGGGCCCCCACCGCAGCCCAGGGTCAGCAGCCCCAGGCGAGCGGCTGGCAACCAGCCACCAGAGGGCCACAAGACATGCAAGGACTCAAAGAAGCCGCCGAGGTGCCACATCTGGAGCCCGAACAAGCAGCAAAGGTAGCACGTCCACTCGCCCGAGTGGGCCGGCCATGGCGCTCGAGGCCAGACCAGAGTGCGCGGCCTGCAACGACCTGGCAGAAGAGCAACACCACGGCGGCGAGCCGCACAGTGAGGCCGCAAACCTGCCCCAAGAAGAACAACACGCTGCGGATCAAGGTGCACTGCGAGTGCGGCAACATGAGCCACCAGGGCCCCCTCGACAAGATGGACTTCACGTGCAAGTGCGGCAAACGGCTGCCGACGACGCCTATGGTGGCGCCTCCTGCACAGTGCGCTCGAGGTGCCCGCACCTCGACGTCGACATCAAGACGAAGCACACCTTCGTGGACGGCTTCGAGGATCAGAGCGGTGCTGCAACGCCGTGAGCTGCCACGCTGGCCACATCGGCACCACCCAGCTGGCAAGCCGAGGTGCGGAATCCTGGCCCTGATGCATCAGACGAGTCCGACCAACCAGACCAACGAAAAGAGGTGGGCCCCGCTGAGCCTACCACGAGTGAATTGGCGCCTCGCGCCGCGGTCTTGATATCTGGCCATGATGCGCCAGGCATGCCTGACCAGCCAGACCAAGCAGACGAGGTGGGCCCTGCTGAGCATACCACAGTTTTGAACAACAAGTACTGCAATGAGTGCAGACTGAACCATGCCCGCTGCCTTGGCCAGGTGAGGGTGGCAGGTTGGCCCCTGTACGAGGTGAGAGCTTACCCTGCAGTCAGAGTTCTCCCCCCAACCCCGCCCAGCTGAGCGGGGAGGACGACCACCACAAGCAACAATCAGTGGAAACAAAGGCCGACGCGGAGGACTATGCCCAAGCCTTGGAGGTATACTTGCAAGACGTAGAAGAATTCCAGCAATGGGCCTGTTCGGAGCGAGGCAAGTCCAACGATGCCGGCATCGACTTCTTCCACCGCGACCTGGTGCGGTACCGTACCGCTCTGGCGACCTTGGCGGCCTTCGGCGTGAGGGGCAAGATCGCCAAAAGCGAGCACAAGTGAGCGCTGGCCTTTGCCTCCCACTCGATGTGCGTCCTGTTGGACGCACCCTGAGGTTCCCCCCCCGCGACAGTATGCATGAAAAAGCAAGCGTGAAGTCCCTGAGCTTGCCGCTTGAAATGTGCAAGCGAAGATGCGAGAGGCGTGACATCGGGGAGGGAGGCGGCCAGATGGAGAGGAGGGCGGAGGGGGGAGGACACCAAGGAGGGAAAGGGTGAGCAGAAGGCGAATGAGGGGGCCGCGCCTGCGGCCGCAGTTTTTCCCTACCTGGAGTAGGGTCCTCCGCGGATGCACTAGTGGCCCTCCTCCTCCTCCTCTTCCTCCTCCTCCTCCTCCTCCACCCCTTTCCTTTTTTCCTCATCCCTCTCCTCCCCCTGTTCCTTCTCCTCCTCCTCCTCCTCATCATCATCATCAGCATCAGCATCAGCAGCATCAGCATCAGCATCAGCATCAGCATCAGCATCAGCACCAGCACCAGCACCAGCACCATCACCAGCACCAGTACCAGCACCAGCATCAGCATCATCATCCGCATCATCATCATCAGCATCATCATCATCATCATCATCATCATCACCACCACCATCATAATCATCATCATCATCACCACCATCATGATCAGCATCAGCATCAGCATCAGCATCATCAGCATCAGCATCAGCATCATCAGCGTCATCATCATCATCATCATCATCATCATCATCATCATCATCAGCATCATCATCATCATCATCCCCCTGCATTCCTCAAAACTCCTGCCCGTGCCCTCGTTCCTGCTCACGGCACGCCCGCGTATGTACAGCCAGTCGTACATCCGTCGTCACTCTCCTGCGCCCTTGGGGGGTCTAGCGGCGCACATACCCCCACGCATACTTACAGCACAGCAGACACACCCGATAAGAGATCATGATACACAAAATCTAGTGGCCAACTCTTCGTCGATACTTTCAGCCTCTCAAAATGCACCCAGAGCTTCTGCGGGTCCCTGGGGTCTAAAACAAATCCATGGGCCACCCTCTGGCAGGCCCATTACATATTCGATATGCCCACTGTAGACACCTCCGCCCTGGGTGCTGCCAAGCGTTGAACTGTCACCGCGCTCTTTCGCCCCCCTGGGGGTCTCAGCGGAGCGCTTCCCCGCACGCAGACCCACACCAGATCATATGGGTGCTGCCATCTGCGCAACTGTGGCCACTTTCTTGCGTCGCTGCCGGCTCCAGCAGAGCTCCCCCCCCACGCACGCAGGACCCAACGAGATCTCTCCTCCACCCCCCCACCCACAAATGCCCAGAGCCAGGCCTCGCCCACCGGGGCGCTTCCAATTGCGAAGCTGTAGCTGCTATGCTGCGATCCTGGGTCACCGCCTGGTCAGGGACTACATCAACATGCACTGTCGGAGGTCCGCGCAGATCTCGTGGTATTTAGGTGCGCCAGGCAGTGCGTCGAAGGCACTCCGTGCGGAACACCGAAAACGTATGGCTATGCCGTCCTTGTTCGTCGAGGACTGGCCCTTACCAGGCATGGTGGTGGGACAAGTAGAAGCGGTCGGCATCTAATCGACAAATCGGATCGCACCAAACCGTGCGCCGAATCGGGCATCACCAGCGCGGAGTCGGAATCTAATCGGATCGGCTGCGCCAAGACGCACAACGACGCCGCGTAGGCATCGTGTCGGGCCGACAACGACATCGAGGAGTGGCCCTGGCCAAGCACGCTCTCGCTCCAGCGCCGCTCGCGTTGTGGTTTTCGGGCCCAAGCTCTGGAATCTGGCCGCCATTCGGGACGATCCTGGCGCCCCTGGAAGCAGCCGCCAGGAAACATCCCGAGGCTGCTGGAAACCAGCCGCAAAGGCAAATCAGCCCGAAGATGGTGGCATAGGCCCTCCTCCTCCTCCTCCTCCTCCTCCTCCTCCTCACTCCCTCCTCCTGCCTCCCCCTCCCTCCCTCCTCCTGCCTCCTCCTCCCTTCTCCTCCCTCCCCTCCCTCCCTCCTCCCCCTCCCTCCCCCCCTCCCCTCTCCCCCTCCCCCCCTCCCTCCCTCGGGGCGGCCCTGCGAGGGCGCAGCGCGAGGAGGGGGAGGGGCGCGGGGCGGCCGGGAGAGAGCGGGGGGCCGCGGGCGAGCGGGGGACGCGGCGGCGTCCTCGGATGCCGCGCAGGGCAGGGCGAGGGCCCCGAAGGTGGACTCGTTGCTCTTCGCGGCCGCGTCCTGTGCGGCGCTCTTTTTGCCTTGTTTTGTTGCGTGCGCTGCTGCGGTCGGGAACTTTTGCTTTGAGTGTCGCGGCGGCGGCCCCGGCGACACGCCATGCCTGCGAGCGGATGGCGTGTCGCTCCGCTCCGCTCCGAGGGGCGGGAGGCTCGAGAAAACTCGGGACGTTGACGCCTGGGGACCGGGAAAAGGATAGCGTGCCGCGCCGAAGCGTGGTGGGCCAGAACCGGAGGCGCGACACGCTAAACCAACGTTGCTGACCGTATGTTAGCTGCTATCGTGCTCTTCTCTTTACTTGCCATTATTGCTCTGGTGCTTCTTATGTTTTCAGAGGCCTCGGGGGCGTGGCCCAGGGTCTGAACCTCGAACGTGCTCTAAGTTCCCAGCGGCCCGTCCTGGAGCCCCCTTCTTCTGTCCTCTTGGACGGCTCAGCACGCCAACACCATTGAAATATTGCACTTTCTAATCTGTTTTTTTTCGCGTGCTCACATTTCAGTCTGAAGAGCGTTTTAGACGGCCCAAAAGGCTCTCAACATCTCCCCAAGATGGCCCCCAAGGTCCCCAAGATCGCCCGAGAGGCCCCCAAGACGGCCTCAAGAGGGGGAACACGAAGTGGCATGACGAACTCTTTCCTCAAATATGACCCCCGAGACCGCCAGCAAGCCCACCAAAGGTCCCCAGGAGATGCGTGAGAGGCCCCCAGAGGGGCCCTAAGAGACCCCCGAGAAGCCCCCAAGAGGCTCCTGAGAGCCTTCCAAGAGGCCGCCAAGAGGCCTCGCAAGAGGCTTCAACAAGCCTCTTGTCCGCGACTCAGTCACGGTGGCGGGATAGACCGACTGCCAATCTTTCCGCCGCCCCCAGTGCTTGCCACAGTGGTGCACGGCGTGCTGGACGTTGGGCTGATTTGACTCTTCAAAAAAATCCCAGTGGGGCCTCGAGGCCTCAACGTCCACAGCAAATGTCCCCACGATTGCCAAAATGGCCTATAAGACGCCTGCAATACGGCCAAAACGGTCTCAAGATGGCCCAAGATGTCCTCCAAGCGACCCAAGAGGCCCCAAGACATCCCAAGAGGGCTCCAAGAGGACCTCCAGGAGGTCAGCATCGCTGATGCTCCTTAGGCTTTCCAATGGTTGTAGCGTTCTCGCCTTTTCGGGCTCCCGGCTCTCCAAGGCGGCCCCATGGGCCCCACAGATCGTCCCAAGATGGCCCAAGACGGCCCAAGAGGTGCCCAAGAAGCCCGCAAGACGGCCCAAGACGGCCCAAGAGGCCCCCCTTCAGACGGCCCCATAGATTTCCAAGACGACCCTAACGCCCAAAGAGGGACCCACGACTGTCCAGAGAGGGCCCCAAGACGGCCTCCGAAGGCCAAGAGGTCCTCAGAGGCCCCCAAGAGGTCCCAGGAAGCCCTCAGGAAGCCCCAAGATCGTCTCAACAGGTCTTCTCTGCTTCTCTTCTTCTTCTTCTTCTTCTTCTTCTTCTTCTTCTTCTTCTTCGTAGCATTATTATTAATATTATTATTAGTAGTATTATGACTATTGTTGTTATCATTTCTCTTCCTACTCCTCCGCCTGCTCCCCTTCCTCCTCCTCCTCCTTCTCCTCCTCCTCCTCCTCATCCTCCTCGTCCTCCTCCTCCTCCTCCTCCTCCTCCTCCCCATCCTCTTCCTCCTCCTCCTCCTTCTACTTCTCCTCCTCCGTTCCCTTTCCTTATACATCGGCTACGCGTAAGAGTGACCCTTCGCTGGAGTGCTGGCCGCCCTTAAGGGGGTCGGGTGATTTCTCATTCGGAATAACCTTGACTAGCGTCGACACCCGTATCGCGTGGTTGCGCTCGCATCTGAGCGCGCCAGGTTTGCCCCCCCCCCCCCCCCCCCCACCCCCCCCTCCCTGCAATCGACAGCAACGCATACGCGGCGCACCCTACAGTGCTCATTGGTTTCCCGAGGGGTGGCTGAACGACTGGACTGTGCGTTTTCCGCCCCAACACCAGGCCCGAATCCCTGCCCATATCCCAAATCTCCTGGTTTGGGCATCTCTTAATATCCTTGCATGTAATTGGATAGTTTCGAATGGTTTTGAACATCTGTTCAACACCTGCTTTGTTCTTTACGATTGCAACGTATCCAAAGATATTCAACCGTATTCTGGGCCTGCGGATGGGCCTGGTTGTGGCCATGACGCAGGACCTGGTCAGACCTCATCGCGTTGCGGCCCAGCAGCGTCAAACCTCATCGTAGTGGCCCCCGGCAGCATCTGCTTTCGCGGCGCTTTCGAAGTGCCATTCGGGGCTTCCATGTCCAATTGGCGGAATCCCGCGGTTTCCCGCTGACGCAACAAGAGAAATTCGAGGCGCGTCCCGCCGATCGTTGATGCGGCGCAGCAGTACAGGCTTGCGCGGTTGCGTTGGGCCTCCACGGGAAACCCTGAACGCCGCGCACCAATAGCCACTCTAGTCTAGGGCCACTCTTACGTTTAGTCGGATGAACAACTCTTCTCTGTCGCACCCTGAGGCCCGTCGAAAGGGCGGGCAGTGCGTTTTGCCGGAGTCACCACTTATGACCCTGAAGCTTAGACATTGGCAGCAGCTTCACAGATGGAGGGCGGGTGGTTTTTAAGATGTGACTCTCGCCCCCAGCGCCCCGCGCATTCGGTTCCAAAATTCTGAAAGGAGTTCACGGATTGACGGTGGGTCGTTTTCAACATGTGGCTCTCGCCTTAGCACCGCGCACATTCGTCTTCGACATTTACAACAGTTGCCCAGGTTGAGGGCGGGCGGTTTTCCAAAACGTGACTCTCG